GGTACCATTTTACACGGTAGATCTGGGAGGTCGATTACGGTACCATTTTACACGGTAGATCTGGGAGGTCGATTACGGTACCATTTTACACGGTAGATCTGGGAGGTCGATTACGGTACCATTTTACACGGTAGATCTGGGAGGTCGATTACGGTACTATTTTACATGGTAGATCTGGGAGGTCGATTACGGTACTATTTTACATGGTAGATCTGGGAGGTCGATTACGGTACTATTTTACATGGTAGATCTGGGAGGTCGATTACGGTACTATTTTACACGACATGATAGATCTAAAGTTTGGTATAGGACCGTTTAGTTTTTATATGGTATGGTTAGATCTAAGGTTCAATGGTCGTTTAGTTTAAATAATGATTGGTAAAGTTTCACATAATGCTATTGATTAAAACGTTTCTTTAACCCTAATATTACACACATGTTTTTGTACTATAAAACTAAGTGAAAACCTACAATTATACACAATTGCAGCCGGAAGTTGTAGGTTTATTGGTTGCATTTCCGGGTAAAGTTTCTCGTGAATCATTGTTATTGGGAATCACCTAATTAATTAATTAATTACTAACCATCAGTTTGATTCATAGATAGTTTAGAGAACTGTGGCTAAAGAAATTAATTTATTCAAGTTCTACTGGTAATTCTAGAAGCTATACAGATAAAAGTAATTATTGTCTATATTACGTGTATTGGATTGTACATTAATTTATTCAAGTTCTACAGGTAATTCTAGAAGCTATACAGATAAAAGTAATTATTGTCTATATTACGTGTATTGGATTGTACATTAATTTATTCAAGTTCTACTGGTAATTCTAGAAGCTATACAGATAAAAGTAATTATTGTCTATATTACGTGTATTGGATTGTACATTTAAATGATCAAAGTCTCATATATACACACACACACACACACCTTTGTAAAGAAAATTGTCACTGCGCATGCTCTGTTACGTTGCTACGCGTCAAGTTAATGTTACGATAACCTGGTGCTTTGCCAACTGTTGTTTGTGTAAAACAAACCCCTGTTGACCAAATGATGAAACACGAGAGAAACAAAAATAATGGTCAATGTTTAGACTCATCCGAAACGAGAAATACGGTAGAAGAAACTTCTTTAAATACGGTATAAAAAAAAGTATTTCTACGTATCCGCTTCACGCTAACTAAAGTCAATGGCACCTAAAGCGCGTGGTTCTCGTGAACTTCGCTTCCGGCTGTTCGTGGCCTACTCCACTTCCTGAATTGAAAGTTACTATAATGTCGACAGCGCATCAATTTAGCAGTTAGTCTTTCGCGGTCATTGTCGTCTTTACTGGTCTACATTCTGTTATGTCAGCAGTTAGTAAAGAGTGCGTAACAGGTGAACGTCCCGTCTGTAGTTACCGTTCTTCCAGCACTCTTAACGGTACTTACATATCCAGCTTTAAAAGGTCACTGTGAAAGAAGTAGACGAAAAATTAACTTGTTTGTTAGAATTTCGTAGAATTCAGAGAAAGAGAGGTAAATACAAAGGTCATTATTTTAAATAGTCACGTATACTTGAAAGTGGCCCGAAAAGACAAGGTTTAGTAACGAACTAAAATAACACGCTACTACAACACGTAGAATAACAGTTAATAAATACGTGCCTGCCTAGGACTTCATATTAGT